ACTTAAAAAAATTGCTGATTCTGTTCTTAGTATTTTTATATATATTGATTATACATACATATTTATTATATATTACTTGACATAAAAAATAACTGCAGTACTATAGTATATATAGTAGAAAATTGATTGTTTTCAATAAATGTTAATGAGTCATATGGGTTAAAAAATTGCTGTTTCTAATTTCTCATATATCTGAATGCTGTGAGAGGTTTTTTTTAATGAGTAAAAATGATCTGGGTTCTCAAAAAGCATACATAACATAGCAGATCATTCTCCTAAGAGAAATTTACACAAAATTGTATACAATATAAATGATGTAGCATTTTATTGAACATACAATATATAGGACAGATTTTTTTAAGATTCCCTCTAACTTAGCCGTTTTTATAAATAATAATAGGAGGAAACTTTAAGGAGAAGCAATCTTAAACCAGCCTTTAATTCAATGAAGGAAAAGTTGTAGGAATATTAGTAAGAGACAAAGATGGAGTTTATTTCTGGTTTCAAAGAGTAATCATTTTCTTTCTAGAAAAATAAAATCATTTAAAACTTCACTAATCAGAGTTTCCTTAAGTAAAGTGATTAATTATTCAAACTGACAACCTGATGACCCTCACTCTAATCTATTCAGGCCCACCCAAAAAAATTTACAAAAGCACATCTCTAACATGAAACTCAAAGGAACCAGGCCAATTGCGGGGGGGTGGGGTGGGGGGGGGGGGGCGGGGCAGGGAAGGATGGGGTAAGGGAGTGGTTATTCACTGTTTTCCCTCTGAAAACATGATTTCTTGAGTGCCTTGGTGTTCAGTGAAGAGTCTCTTTCAAGATTAAAAATGGTGAAAGGAGGTATGGGCAGGAATAATGAAACACTAATCTAAAAAAGCAATGACTAAGGTTTCCATCTATCTTATTTAACACAAAAAGATAGGACATTTACTTTATTTGTCCATGACTTACCATACAAAAGGAAAAAAGTAAGTCAATATTACCAAGTGAAGAGTTTTCTTGGCTGCTCTCTAATGTATTATGTCTGGCTCTTCGTATGTCTTTCAGTATCCTTTTACTGCTTTCTGCCAGTATTCACCCACGTGAATATGCATCATTAGTATCAAATCACATGGCATTAATAAAGATACTATTAATGCTTAAACAGGTATTCAGATTTTAACATAATTTCCCTATAAAGGCAACAGCACAGCTGCTAAATTCCAAATACATTATTTAAACTAAATACTAGGCTATGTTTCACAAACTTCTAATTCACACAAACTTCTAATTCACATTCCTCAAATATACTGCTGAACACAAACTGGATGGCATGATTGAAAGTGGTATACTCATAAAAACAACAGAGAAGAATAAGCACTTAATATGCATAATATAAATCTAATATATATATATCTCTATAATAATGTGGATCTAATACGTATAAATGAAAGTTTAACAAAATGATAATTAGCATATATTTTGAATTGTAAATTCTCTTGTTATGAGTTTCAGCAGTAAGTCAAATTGCATTAAAGACGTATAACTTTTAGAAATGTCAAATTCCATTTTATTTGATCTGGGTGCATGAGTCTTATTTTGTAAGCATTCTCAAAGGAGCTCAGGATTTTGGGGGTTTTTTTGTAATTAAAAAAGCAGTAAAGCAAGATCTGCATCACAGAAAATAACTATTTCTGTCTTTCCTTTATAATAAAAGATAGCCTTCAAGAGTTAAAAACAAATCAATAATAATCAGGAAACTATAAATAAAAAACATAATGAGATACCACTTCACACTCATGGAATGGCTATAATAAAAAAAGACAGATAATCACAAGAATGTTGACGATATAGAGGAATTGGAACCCTCATACACTGCTAATGGGAAGGTAAAATGGTGTAGCCACTTAAGAAAATAGTCCAGTATTTCCTCGAAAGATTAAACATAGAGTTACCATATGACTCAGTAAATCTACTTCTAGGTATACACCGAAGAGAAATGAAAACAAATGTCTACACAAAAACTTTTACACAAATGTTCATAGTAATTTTATTCATAATAGCCAGAAAGTGAAAACAACCCAAATGTTCAACAACTGATGAGTGGATAAACAAAATGTGGTATAATCATACAGTGGAATATCATTCAGCAATAAAAAGGAACGATGTACTGATAGATGCTATGACCTGGATGAATTTTGAAAACATTATGCTAAGTGAAAGAAGCTAGCCACCAAAAACTATATATTTTATGATTCCATTTATATGAAATGTCCAGAATAGGTAAATTTATAGAAAAAGAAAGTAGATTAGTGTTTGCCTAGGGCTAAGGAGTTGGGAGAAAACATGGGTGGGGTGGGGTAACTGCCAAACAGAACAGAGTTTCTTTCTGGGGTGATGAAAATCTCCCATAATTGTTTGTGATAGTGAACAAGTCTGTGAACATGCTAAAACCCACTGAATTGTATACTTCGAATGCATTAATCATATGGTATGTGAATTATATCTCAATTAAGCTGTTAACATTGTCCCCTCTCAAAAAAAAAAAAATCTACTGTAATAGCTTTCAACTGCAGCTACACTTGGAATAACCCAACTTACTCATTAAAAGTACAGATCCCCTGGACCTGCCAGACCAGTAAATCATAATCTATGGGATGAGACCCACTCTTCTAGACTAGTGGGAGCAGTACAGTGAGACCTAGATTCAAACTCTGACTATGCCATCTTCTTAACTGTATGATCTTTAGTAAATTATCTAATCTCACTAAATTTTCAGTTCCTTTTTCAGTACAATGAGGTGAGAAGTACCTATTTCACTGGATTACTGTAAGAATTTAATGAGATATTAGACGTAAATTTACGTGTACAAAATAGTGTATGTTTTATGACATACTGTGCTCAAACAACAGCTACTCTTATTATTACAATTATGTTATTTTTACTAGATCTTTATTTTCTTTTTCCCTATAAGGAAACATAACGCAGACTTCAGCAATGTTTGTCCCAAATCCATGCATGTAAGTTAAACCTTATAAATTCTAACTCCTTATAAGAAATATTGTTTTATTTTTTAAAGCAGTTTACTTTCTATCTGATGCCCTGCTCGGAATAAAATAAATGACATTTATGAAGTTACTATTTTTATAGAAATACAGAAATTACAAGAACACAAAACTTCAATGTCACTAATGGTGGGAGGGTGCTCATTAAAAAACAAATCAATGGTTATTTTATAAATTACAAATTTAGGAATAAAGTTCCAAAGATTAGGCAGCCACAAAAATCAACCATTTAATTAAATATAATTTGCCAATTTTTAAAAATAAATTCACTTTTTAGTAAAAATGTTGTAACCATCTGCTCAAGAACAAAGTGAAGTAAATTTAAAGTCCTATGAAATAATTTCCTGCTTAAGAAATGCATGTTCTTAATTCCCAGGTAATTTGACAACATCTTCTAAAGAAAAAAAAAAATCCTCAAAGAAAGACTTTCATATGAATGAAAGCCAACGTTTTAGAATGGAGTGTAACACATGCACAAAACAACAATAAGTACAAAGACTGGAAATAACATTTTATATTTCTACATAAAAATTCAGCATTTCTTTCCCCAACAGCTTATAATTCTATTCTACAATGAGTCATACAAACAGGTCAAATTTTGACTGAATCTGGTACAAAAATCAAATGTCATTCAACAACCACATTGTTATCTGAAGACATGGAAAGGAACATATCCATTCGAATTCCTAGGGATATTTTAGTATCTCATAAGTGTGTCACACTTTATAAATACAAGTACATTGCTTGAGAAAAATGACTGTGGATTTTCTAAATACATTTAATTAAACCAAAATTAAATTAAGTGTCTGGTTAGAGCTAAATATAATAGAACACCATACCTAAAATTTAAACTGCATCTTTCTCAAAGCTAAATAAAAATTTTGAAACACCCAGAGAATATTATATCTCTACATAGCTGCACAGCCTAAAAACAAAGTTTCCTTCATCACCCACTATAAGACCAATGCTCAACCAATATATTTAACCTGTTTTATTCAGAATAAATTTGTGTTTCACACAAAAAAGGGAAACTTCCCTTTAAAAGCTGTATAATCAATTTTTATGTCAATTTTTCAAACTCTCATAAAAAGGGCCCACAAAGATAATACCGTCTATCAATTTCTCAAAATCGGTAAGTCAACGGTTGACTACATTCCAAAAGTTGCTGAAATTTTTTTTTAATTAAAAATATCAAAACAACTAACTTCTTTTTACTGACTTGTTTACACATGTGTATTTCCTATTTTTTATTCTACTATCTATTCTTTTAAAAACAGTCCCCTTTTTTCAGTACAATTTAGCTTTACATATAAAAACAAGAATGAAATCTACCGAAATACTAACAGTGTTGGCATTAACTATTGCTAACTTTTCTACTTTTCTGTATCCTTAGATTGTTTTTAATGAACATGTAAGTACTTTCAAAATGAAATTTTCTTTTCAACTTTCTTACAACCCTGCTTCTTCACAAGGCTCTGATATGCCAATCTTTTGTGGTAAATTAGGTAGAAAAGTAATATGAATTTAAACAAACACTTTTTAGGTAAAAAAGAAGGTGTCAGAGAATGAGAAAATGCAGGCTTAAAGCATCTTATATAATCATATCTTGTAAATACTTTAAAAACAGGTGGTAACAATTAAAAAATTAGGTAAAAATTCTTTTTCTGCTTCAAATTTACTTTTTTCCAATGAAAATGAAAGCAGATTAGATTTGTGTGAAAAAGGCCCAATTACATATACATTCTAACTAATTATCTAGGTCTATAAAATAATCTCAAACCATGTACTATTAATACCGCTATAACTGATTAAACCATAAAGAAGACAAAACTTAGAAACCAGCTGTTTTTTAGACAAGTATCAGATATTTTCTGATATGGAAAAGCACTGGACAAAATTATTGGGCATAACAAATACTACAAACAATAATAGTAACCCAAGGCCTCTTACCAATTTCAGCAGGTAGTTGTTTGATTTTGTTCTCTCGAATGCTAAGCATGCTGAGTTTTGACAGGTTTTTGATGTCTTTTTCCACAGTAGTTATTCGATTAAAGCGAAGGTAAAGAGTGGTAAGAGAATCCAGCCTATACACCACTGAAGGAATTTCTCTCAGTTTATTATGCCGTAAATCAAGCATCCGCAGCTTCTTCAAGTTATCAAGAGAGTCAGGCAAACTGGTAAGTGAATTTTCACTTAGAGCAAGTGTCATGAGATTTACTAGACAGCCCACTTCTGCTGGGAGGGACTGTAATTTGTTGCTATATAAATAAAGTTCTGTTAATTGAGTCAACTCTTTGATTGATGATGGCAATATGTGTATAGACCTCTTGGATAAGTCCAAACGCATTGAGTTCTCTTCCCGGCATTTGTTGAGCTCTTTAATCACCTCTGCATTGCTAGATTTCTTTCTAGTCCCAGGTGCTGGATTTGGCCGTTTGATCGTATTATCAACTGAAAAAGCCACCCCTGGTTGGGCAGCACTGGAGTCCTTCTTTCCATCTTTGGCATCTTTCCCTTTGGTCTTAGGTTCTTTTTCTTTGCTCTCTTTCCCAAAACCTCCAGAGGCTTTTGCCTCCTTTTCTCTTTCCTTGGCTGATGGTGCTTTGGGATCTTTCTCTTTAGAGTCTTTTTCTTTTCCTAAACTACTACTCATGGTGACTCAAGCTTGGGCAAAAACTACATGAACTCCTTTTATTTGCCAACAGCAGAAACTGGAATTCAAAGATGAAGAGACAAAAATCCTACACAATCAAAAAAGGTGTTGGCTTCAAGAAGTAATCGCCATCTGTTACGTGTTGGATCTAAAAGCACTATGCCCATTTCTGATAACTCATTCCAACTGGTAAAATGGTGCTGGTCAATCAATGATTCATTAGAATTCCTGAAATATAATACAGAGAGAGTATTATATTACTTTAGGTTATAAATTTATATTAAGTAAATGGGCTCTGAAAAACAATCTTACTGAAAATTTTGCTATTTTCCTAAGATTTGATACAGTAAATATTTATCGAACACCTTCTACTTTGCAAAATCCATTGAAAAATTATAAAAATTAACAAGGCGGGCTCTCTCTTTAAGGAATTTACAATCTAACAGGAAGAGGTAAGATAGGTATGCAAGTCACCAAACTGCAAATGTTTTTAAGAGCTGAAAAGTGGGAGAAATCACAACAGCAGCTAATGTCTGAGTGCTTTCTATGTACAAGCACTATTGTATGGAATTTACAAACATTATAACTGCTCTATGAGATAAATTCTTATCTCTATTTTACATACAGGGACGACTGAGGCACAGAAATATTTTTAGTAATTAGCTTTGTGATCCTGGAAAAGTGGCAGAGCTAAGATTCCAATGTAGGTGGTACACTGCCTATATTCTTAATCACTACGGTAAAACTGCTCTATCTGCAGCTAATTACCAGATTCTAGGAACTGCAAAGGTAGCTTTTTTAGTTGATAGTGAGAAGGATTAAAGGTTCTTAGAAGTAGAAAATGTTCACTGGTAACATGACTGACCCAAAATGATCCACAAAGATTGAAAAGATGAGGGGAGATGGAAGTGAGACAGCACTAACCTAATAAGATCTATTCTTGGTATAAGATTATAATGATGATTATCACATTTAATAATTATTTACTTAAAAAACCACATCAATAGACCATATATACTAAATATATTCCTTAGTCTTACCTTAAATGCCGATGTGAAAGCTTTACAATATTGAATCTTGAATTACAATAAACAAGACTTCTGATTCCATACAAGATGGAATAAGCCCACTCTACCTTGTTCCTCACATTAATTACAACTTAAAACCCTGACAAAATACATGAAGCAACTAGCAGAATATTCTGAAAGGTAGAGAAAAGAAGGCAGACTGGTTAGGAACCTTGGTTTGCAGATGACCTGGTGGTTAGTACTCTAGGGGTTTTTTGTTTTGCTTTGTTTTTATTTCCTATATATCCTGGCCTGGGCAGTAGAGAAGCCCATAAACACAAAACACCAATAAGCATGGACTAAAACAAGGTCCAAGAAAAGTCTGCTGTCTCTAGTCAAAGGACTATGAAGAGAATAGCACTGCAGGATGGAACCCTTTTGACTATACCCCTCCTTATTCCACTTGAACACCACAGAAGAAGTCTGTCCCACCCCTCCCAACTGGCACTGAGGCCACAAAGACTGTAGAGTAAAACTCTGCCAAACACCCAGCTCTGCACTAACTTGAAGAGAAGCAGTACACATCCCCCTTGGCATCAGTACTGCAGCCATGGAAACTATGGAGGAGAGCCCTGTTGACCATCCCCACCCTGTACTTAGTAAATGTCAGCCAAGAAGTGGTAGCCCTCTCCCTCCCCACTGGTGCAAAAGCTGTACTATGAGGAAGAATCCTGTGGATCATCCCCTGCCGTGCACTAAGCAAATGTTAGCAAAGAGACAGCACACCACTCCTTCACAACCAGAGGGAGAAGGAGAAAATTATGGAGAGGAGGGAGCTGGAGAAAGGGATTCTTTCAATCTGTGTATTCCCAAGCACACTCCTTAGAAGCTCAGCAAGAAACCAACCAGAATGAAAACAACAAATGCTTTGAGAACTGAACTGCAGTGTGGAATATCACCTATTTTTCAGATTGGCCTTGGGGTGGCATACAAACAGGGCAGACCAGAATACCCCTAAAAAGCACATTAAAAGGATCATACACCATGACCAAGTGAGGTTTATTCCAGGAATGCAAGGATTCTTCAATATACGCAAAACAATTAATGTGATAAACCATATTAACAAATTGAAGGAGAAAAACCATATGATCATCTCAGTAGATGCAGAGAAAGCTTTCGACAAAATTCAACACCCATTTATGATAAAAACCCTGCAGAAAGTAGGCATAGAGGGAACTTTCCTCAACAAAATAAAGGCCATATATGACAAACCCACAGCCAACATCGTCCTCAATGGTGAAAGACTGAAAGCATTTCCACTAAGATCAGGAACAAGACAAGGCTGCCCACTCTCACCACTCTTATTCAACATAGTTTTGGAAGTTTTAGCCAAGCAATCAGAGAAGAAAAGGAAATAAAAGGAATTCAAATCAGAAAAGAAGAACTAAAGCTGTCACTGTTTGCAGATGACATGATACTATATATAGAGAATCCTAAAGATGCTACCAGAAAACTACTAGAGTTAATCAATATATTTGGTATAGTAGCAGGCTACAAAATTAATGCACAGAAATCTCTGGCATTCCTATATACTAATGATGAAAAATCTGAAAGTGAAATCAAGAAAACACTCCCATTTACCATTGCAACAAAAAGAATAAAATATCTAAGAATAAACCTACCTAAGGAGACAAAAGACCTGTATGCAGAAAATTATAAGACACTGATGAAAGAAATTAAAGATGATACAAAAAAATGAAGAGATATACTGTGTTCTTGGATTGGAAGAATCAACATTGTGAAAATGACTCTACTACCCAAAGCAATCTACAGATTCAATGCAATCCCTATCAAACTACCACTGGCATTTTTCACAGAAGTAGAACAAAAAATTTCACAATTTGTATGCAAACACAAAAGACCCCGAATAGCCAAAGCAATCTTGAGAATGAAAAACGGAGCTGGAGGAATCAGGCTCCCTGGCTTCAGACTATACTACAAAGCTACAGTAATCAAGACAGTATGGTACTGGCACAAAAACAGAAAGATAGATCAATGGAACAGGATAGAAAGCCCACAGATAAACCCATGCACATATGGTCACCTTATCTTTGATAAAGGAGGCAGAAATGTACAGTGGAGAAAGGACAGCCTCCTCAATAAGTGGTGCTGGGAAAACTGGACAGGTACATGTAAAAGTATGAGATTAGATCACTCCCTAACACCAAAATAATCTCAAAATGGATTAAAGATCTAAATGTAAGGTCAGAAACTATCAAACTCTTAGAGGAAAACATAGGCAGGACACTCTATGACACAAATCACAGCAAGATCCTTTCTGACCCACCTCCCAGAGAAATGGAAATAAAAAGAAAAATAAACAAATGGGACCTAATGAAACTTAAAAGCTTTTGCACAGCAAAGGAAACCATAAACAAGACCAAAAGACAACCCTCAGAATGGGAGAAAATATTTGCAAATGAGGCAACTGACAATGAATCAATCTCCAAAATTTATAAGCAGCTCAATAACAAAAAAACAAACAATCCAGTCCAAAAATGGGCAGAAGACCTAAATAGACATTTCTCCAAAAAAGATATACAGATTGCCAACAAACACATGAAAGAATGCTCAACTTCATTAATCATTAGAGAAATACAAATCAAAACTACAATGAGATATCATCTCACACCAGGCCATCATCAAAAAATCTAGAAACAATAAATGCTGGAGAGGGTGTGAAGAAAAGGGAACACTCTTGCACTGTTGGTGGGAATGTAAATTGATGCAGCCACTGTGGAGAACAGTATAGAAGTTCCTTAAAAAGCTAAAAATAGAACCACCATATGACCCAGCAATCCCACTAATGGGCATATACCCTGAGAAAACCATAATTCAAAAAGAGTCATGTACCAAAATGTTCACTGCAGCTCTATTTACAATAGCCTGGAGATGGAAACAACCTAAGTGTCCATCATCGGATGAATGGGTAAAGAAGATGTGGCACATATATACAATGCAATATTACTCAGCCATAAAAAGAAACAAAATTGAGCTATTTGTAATGAGGTGGATAGACCTAGAGTCTGTCATACAAAGTGAAGTAAGTCAGAAGGAGAAAGACAAATACCGTATGCTAACACATATATATGGAATTTAAGGAAAAAAAATGTCATGAAGAACCTAGGGGTAAGACAGGAATAAAGACACAGACCTACTAGAGAATGGACGAGGATATGGGGAGGGGAAAGGGTAAGTTGTGACAAAGCGAGAGAGAGGCATGGACATATATACACTACCAAACGTAAGGTAGATAGCTAGTGGGAAGCAGCCGCATAGCACAGGGAGATCAGCTTGGTGCTTTGTGACCGCCTGGAGGGGTGGGATAGGGAGGGTGGGAGGGAGGGAGACGTAAGAGGGAACAGATATGGGAACATATGTATAACTGATTCACTTTGCTATAAAACAGAAACTAACACACCATCGTAAAGCAATTATACTCCAATAAAGATGTAAAAGAAAAAAAACTATATTGGAACCAAAAACCACAAAAATGGGTTAGGGCATGTATTCTGAAACAAAACAAGTGACTGCTAAACAGAAGGCTTAAAAAGAAATCAAAATTTTATAAGTCTCAAAACGTCCAGGATGTAATCCAAAATTACTCATCATACCAAGAACTAGGAAAATATCAACTTGAATGGGAAAAGACAATCAACAGATACCAACAATGAGATGACAGATGTTGGAATTATCTGACAAGGATTCTAAAGCAGGTCTCAAAAAACAAAACCAAAAAAAAATGCTCCAACAACTACATATACTCTGGAAACATACAAATAACTATAAAGTCTCAACAAAGAAATAAAAGGTAAATCGAGAATCAAATGAAAATTTTAGAGCCAAATAATATAATAAATGAAATTTTAAAACTCACTGGAGGGGCTCAATAGGATAATGGAGATTATTGAAAATTCAGTGAATTTGAAGAAAGATCAGTAGAAATGATCCAATCTGAACAGCAGAAAGAAAAGAGATTTTAAAAACTCAAAAGAGGGCTTCCCTGGTGGCGCAGTGGTTGAGAGTCCGCCTGCTGATGCAGGGGACACGGGATCGTGTTCCGGTCCGGGAAGATCCCACATGCCACGGAGCGGCTGGGCCCGTGAGCCGTGGCCGCTGAGCCTGCGCGTCCGGAGCCTGTGCTCTGCAACGGGAGAGGCC